CCCCAAAACCCCAAAACCCCAAAACCCCAAAACCCCAAAACCCCTTCTGCTTAATTTAGAGTTGAAAGTTATAAAGTACTAATTCTCTTTAGAGAAAGGAGGGAGCTGCATATTCCCTTCCCCAAGAGAGTTTATGGGTGAATAATACCCATGAGTGTAGTCCTGCCCGTAATTAGGGCTGGGTTGATAGGCCATAGGTTGGCCAAAAGTAGGGAAAGCCATTTGAGGCGAATGTCCAGAATAATACTGGTCCATTGGAATATTCTGAGCCGAATATCCATCATATTGAGACTGGGGCATGTAAGAAGCTTGCTTGCTACCTTCATACCCATAGCCTGAAGGAGCTTGGTAATATTGAGAGTAATCTTCACCATAATTTATGCTTTCTTCCATTTTTCTCTGTCCAACTACTCTAAGATCACAAAGCCTGAAGAAATTGTTCCCGTCAAGGGAAAGTTCAAGATCTTCTTTGAAGTATCCTTCATTGTACCATGTGCACATATCAAAGCAGGAGAAAGGTCCTCTGATAAGTCCTTGAGGATCTTTATAAAGCCATTGGGAGGTTGGATTCTCTTTCAAAATTGGGGCAAAAGGATTGTCCTCTTCATCATTGCCGTAATTATGGTTCATTCCATTGTACATCATTTCTTGTTGGTACTGCATCATTGTATTCGGATTTTGTAGCAACGTGTTTTTGATATGCTCTTGATTCAGCTGTTCGATCATTTGTTGGGTCTGCATCTCAGTCTGAGCCTGAAAATATTGGTGCATCTGAGAAGTCTGGTTTGGATCATTCATCGAAGCATAAGGGTTCTGTATTGAGGTAGAAGAGAGATGAGAGATATGCTCCTGCATCGTAGAAGGATCATAGGTCTCTTCCTCTTCTTCTCCCTCCCCAATCTCTTCAGAATCTTCTTTCTCCTGACTCTCTTCTTCAACAATTTCTTCTTGAGATCCTTGACTGCTCGATTGTTGCTTAGCCTCCTGAATCTGCTTTTTCTCTATTTCTTCAACTGTGATAATTTTAGGATGTTCTTCCTTTGATTGTTGTTCCTTTGGTTTTATCATAGCAGATTCAATATCCTCAACCTTTAGAATTTTGGTATTATCTATCTCGAGCTCCTTCTTAGGAGTGTCAAGGAGAGTATCTTTGTTCTCTGGTCATAAGTCAAGCATATTTTCTTGCTCTACTCCATAGAACTGATCATTTTCTCTCAAGTCTTCAGTAAGTTCAACTGGCTCCTTTGCTGGTAGTGGGAGAGGTATATCTTTGCTGGAGATCTTCTTCATTATTTCCTTCTTTTCAACATCAGAGATTTCTTTGAATTGTATTTTATATTTCTTCGAAGATGCCTTTTCTTCTTCCTTTTCATCACCTTCATCCCATTCAATTTTAGAGTCGTTATATATCTCATTAGCTATTGGTTTTGATGCTGAGGGAGGTCTGGCAAATTTCTGATTATTTCTATTATATTTTGAGACGAACCCACTCTTGGTGTTTCTTAAGACTGCTTCAAAGTAGGTATCCCACTCCATCACTTTAGGCTTATAGACCAACTTGTTCTCCTTCATTACTAAGTTCAAGGGGATTTGGACAGAGAAAGCATGGAGAGGTGATTCAAGAAATTCTTCATAATCAGTTCCTTCTCCTTTAGACTGTGTCCAAGCCTTTTCGCCAGGAGTTACCATTTTGAATTTAGAAAGAAGGTTCTTCTTATTTTCTACAAAATTCTCTGGAACTTTACGTAGCTTCTTCAAGGAAGGGTCAATCTTCAGAGGTAGCTGAGGTTTGTAGGCCATCATAGACTCACTCTTTCCCTTTGGTTGCTTTTTGAGATGCTGTCTTTGTCTCTGGTTTTTACCCTTTCTGTTTGGTTTACTATCCCTTGCTGTTCCTATTTAAAGTAAATATCGTTTGATAAGTTTGAAAAAATCAGCTATTATTTCAAGAATTTAGCCTCATGAAATGATAAAAAGAAATTTAATAGGCTTTGTTAGTAAATACTACCAAATTGTGTAAACTAAGAAATAGATGAAACAGAACTAATGTATCATGGATTGGTTATTGACTAAAAGTAGAGATTTCTTGTAAACTAGCTCAAATGACTAGCAAGACCTTCAATCTAAATTGCAATCAAGTAGTCTGAGATAATACTGGAAGATTTCCGAAAATCTTAAGTCAAAATTTATACTCAATTCTAGGTAGATTTAGTAAAATCTGTAGAGAGGGTGTCTTGAGTCACTTACCAGGCTTCTTTGGTTCATTCTGCTTAGGCTTCTTGCTCTTTGGAGGCTTCCCCTTTGGTTTTGGCTTAGTAGATGACATACTAAATTATACAAGCAGCTCTTGTTAGAAAAAATTTATTATTATTCTCAATCTTGGCTTAAATAAAAGGGGTTTTGGGGTTTTGGGGTTTTGGGGTTTTGGGG